CATTTTAGTACATGTACTCCTTTTTACTTAGAGGGATTATAAGTCTTTTGTGTTTGTATGTTAAATTTCTTTACTTAAATTGTTATTGTTAATAGAACCCTCGGTGAAAAAAGTAAGACCTGAAAAAAGTAGAACAATGTAGAAATTCAGAGCTACAAAATAGAGAGGAAATGTTGTAGTGATTGGCTTAGCAACTTTACATAGTTTTACATAGAATTAAACTAGCCAATTGCAAATGCTGGTATGTTGTTGTCAGGCAGAAATAGTGTCCAATCAGATTCAGGGTCACATTTCACTGACAGCATCATGTGACTTTTATGTGAGTGTTGTCTTAGTTGGTAGCTATTTGATGCATGAATTGAGCTTGTGTCATTTATCCTTTCTGATGAGAGTTCTTCCGTATATTGCTATTGTGTGATGGTTTTGTGGATGGCTGCCTGGAACCTGTTTCCTGGGTGATGGAAAACTAGCATAATTTTTTTCTCTGAACTTTCACTTTAACCTGAAATCCTCACTTATGGTTGCTTTGGGATGTGTGTTCTTGGAAAGGTAATATATATCTAATTTATTTTGATCTAATTTCCCTTTTTGTAACAACAGAGTTTATTTCCAATGTACCAAATTTTCCAGATTAATTGAATATGCTTAATAATAAAGATCTTTATTTCTTACTTTCAGTAACTAAAAATTATTTCTCAGGTTTCAATTTTCTGTATCTTTTTTTCTGAATTTTCTATAATTTTCATTTCCCCTGATCCCCAAAACTAATGAAAAAATTTACAAAATGATACTCTAAAAATTGTTAAAATATGGATCTTTTTTACCTATTTTTTAGCTACAGCAACCCACCCTGCACACCTATGTCCACTAGTGCTAAGTTAAGCTTCATCAGTATGCAGTGTATTCCTGAGTCCTGGCCAGAGGAGCAGGTGGCTGGATACATTAACAGGCTGGAGGTCCACCATTGATAGGATCCATAGATACAGATATACATGTACAACAGACAAATAGCCAAGCACAAGTCACCCTCTTAAATAATTAGATCAAATTAATTTTTTAAGTAGCTTATTTACTTTTAAGATTGTTTTGATGGTAACTGTTTACAGGTTTATGTACATAAAAATATGTATATGCATACAAGTAAAATGAACTTCTTATTCATTAAAATTCTACATACAATTTATGAATTATTTAATCATGTCAAATTTTATTTTCATGTTTAATTTATGAAGATTGAAAATCTGTGATAAACCTATATCTTGTGATAATTTATATTGTGCAGTTTATGGGGTAAATATACACAAACTCTTAATTTTTTTTGGATTTAATTGGTTAATATATACCCACTAGTTCATTGTAGAACAAGTTTGGAGCTGCTACATTAAAATGAATATTTTATCTATGAATTATTAAAGAACTGTTTGATGTTAGCGTTGTTGGTTCTATAGTTAAAGTCTGTATAAAGTGTATTTCTATAAAATGAGAATGAATTTTACCAATTTATTTAGAAAATTTAGTTTCTTGCTTTAGCATCATTGAACTGTGCATTTGTACATATACTCTTCAAATGATTGGGGTATAATCTGTATGAAGGTAACGGAATTTGTTTAGAAAAGAGATTTTTTTTGTAGAAATTTGTAAAAATAAAGTTTGAAATTTTCTTGGATTCTTAAGTAAAGCTATTTGTAAGAACTAGGTGGTTGTGATTCTTGATCTTCCCAGATCTTATCAAATTGTAGTATGTTGCAATGCCTGTTATTCATAAATTATCCAGAGTTTCAAAACTGTCCCTGATGTCTCTGGCATACCCAAGAAAAAGGGAAAAGATACTTTATGTTAACATTTATATACAAGATGTGTTTGTGAAAACACTGATGCCCATCTGATGGTACTTGAAGAAAGGTCCTTTCACAAGGAATACACCAGGTCCTGTAAAGTATGAAAGTCATAGCCCCACCTATTCAAATGTTATGACCAAGATTGAATATTTTGTGCACAAATGAATAAACAGAGCAAAAAACTATATATCCCCAAGTCTTCATTTACAAGTGCTAAACAAGATGTGTTTGTGAAACACTGATGCCCCCTTGTGGCAACATAGGGAAGATTAAATTTTTCCTAAATGCAAATTTAATATAAAGTACCCAAAGTAGGGTATTCTCGCTGGAAATACAATTGTGAAATATGAAAGTAGGCCAAGGTTTAAGTTTTTTTCATAAGTATGGAAATCTCCAAAGTCAAAATGTCAAGGTAATTGGTAATCAATGAAAGGTCTTGCCAGAAAGAATACATATGTGAAGTATGGAACCCATAGCCCTAACCCTCCAAAAGTTATGGCCAAGGTTATAAATATTAAAAAGTAGGTCAAGGTCAAAGGGTCAGAATTCTTGGTGTAAAATGAAGGGTCTTTGCACAAGGATGAAATATGAAAAGTATGAGAGCACTAGCCCTAACCCTTCAAAAGTTATGGTCAAAGCCTGTTTTTTTTAAGTAAGTCAAACATCAAGTTCAAAGGGTCAAAGTTCTTGGTATCCAGTGAAGGTTCTTTTCACAGGAATTAAGTATGTGAAGTATGAAAGCACTGGCCCTTAGCTTTCAAAAGTTATGACCAAGGTTAAAGTTTTTTTCATAAGTGCAGAAATCATCAAGGTCAAAAGATCAAAGTAATTTGTATCCAATGAAAGGTCTTACCACAAAGAATACATATGTGAAGTATGGAAACCCTAGCCCTAACTCTTCAAAAGTTATGACTAAGGTTAAAAATTAGGTCAAACTCCAAAGTCAAAGGGTCAAAGTTCTTGATATCAAATGAAAGGTCTTGTCACAAGGATTAAAAATATAAAGTATGAAAGCACTAGCCCTAACCCTTTAAAAGCTATGATCAAGAATTTCTTTTTAAATGTAGGTCAAACTCCAGGGTGAAAGGGTCAAAGTTCTTGGTATCCAATGAAAGGTCTACTCACAAGGATTACATATGTAAAGTATGAAAGCACTAACCCTTACCGTTCAAAAGTAATGGCCATGGTTAAAGTTATTTCATAAGTACAGAAATCTTTAAGGTCAAGGTCAAAAGGTCAAAGTTGTTTGTATCCAATAAAAGGTCTTTTCACAAAAAAATACATATATGAAGTATAAAAGTCCTTGTTTCTACTGTTCAAAAGATATGGCCAAAGTAAAAGTTTGGAATTTTTGTGTAAAAGTGGGTCAAACTCCAAGGTCAAATTTGGTGGTACCCAAAGAAAGGCCTTGTCACAAGGAATACAAATGTGAAATATGAAAGTCATAGCTCAATTAAATCAAAAGTTACGGGCAAGATTAAAGGTACTTGGACACATATTTGAAGTCAATATTTTCTCTATATTATTACGACTTATATATTTTAATAGCATTTCACACAATAATTAATTAAAATCTTTTTTTCATTTAAAAGTTATTAAAACTTCAAATTTTTTGGCGGGTTTGATTGACTCATCCTTGCACTTTCACAAGTTTTAACCTTATTCTTAATCCTTAGGAAAAGTGGCAATCTTGTTGTGTATTAATGAGAAATATTAAAACTTTTATCCAGAAAAATGATTTTATTCAGAGTAGAAATGTTAGAAAGCAAAACTCCTTCACAAGTATCGTTATTTCGAACTAAGAGTTGCGTACAGATTTTAGCAAATCGAGCACACTCGTGTTACGTATGTTCACAGTTTTTGTAAACAGGGCACGAGTTTTGTTATTGTTGATGTTTAGAATTCACCGGGTGCGTTCAGCCGTCACAGTCTGCTTACCACAACTGCACGGACTGCCAATATATTGTGTATTTGTTTTGCTTTCGAACAAACATGTCTACTCTAAATTTTCTGCATTATAGTATTAATATTTTTCATTTATACACAACGAGATTGCCACTTTTCTAAGGATTGAGAATAAAATTAATTTGTGAAAGTGCAAGGATGTGTTCAGCCGTCACAGTCTGCTTACCACAACTGCACGGACTGCCAATATATTGTGTATTTGTTTTGCTTTCGAACAAACATGTCTACTCTAAATTTTCTGCATTATAGTATTAATATTTTTCATTTATACACAACGAGATTGCCACTTTTCTAAGGATTGAGAATAAAATTAATTTGTGAAAGTGCAAGGATGTGTCAATCAAATCCGCCAAAAAATTTGAAATTTTAATATATTTTGTATGAAATAAGATTTTTAATTAATTTTTGTGTGAAATGCTATCAAAATATATAAGTCGTAATATCATAGAGAAAACAAGATGTGTTTGTGAAACACTGATGCCCCCGTATGGCAACATAGCAAAGATGTAAATTTAATTAATTGGTACAAAAAGTAGGGTATTCTCACTGGAAAACAATCGTGAAAGTATGCCAATTTTTAATTTTTTTCAATAAGTACAAAAAGCTCCAAGGTCAAGGTCAAGGTAATAGGTATCCAATGAAAGGTCTTGCCACATAGAATACTTTTTTAGAGTATGAAAGCCCTAGTCCTAACCATTCAGAAGTTATGGCCAGGTTTAACTTTTTTAACTGTAAGTCAAACTCCAAGGTCAAGGTCAAAGGGTCAAAAGTTCTTGTTATCAAATGAAAGGTCTTGTCACAAGGATTAAAGACGTGAAGTATGAAAGCACTAGCCCTAACTCTTTTAAAATTAATGGTCAAGGTTTGCTTTTTTTAAAGTAGGTCAAACTCAAAGGTCAATGTCAAAGGGTCAATGTACCTGGTATCCGTTGAGGAGTCTTTTCATAAGGATTACATATATGAAGTATGAAAGCCCTATCCCTTACCGTTCAAAAGTTATGGCCAAGGTTAAAGTTTTTTCACAGGTACAAAAATCTACAAAGTCAAGGTCAAAAGGTCAAGGTTGTTGGTATCCAATGAAAGGTCTTTCAACAAGTAATACATATGTGAAGTATAAATGCCCTGGTATCTACTGTTCAAAAGATATGATCAAAGTAAAAGTTTAAAATTTTCATGTAAAAGTGGGTCAAACTCCAAGGTCAAGGTCAAAAGGTCAAATTTGGTACCCAAAAAAGGGACTTGTCACAAGGAATACACTTGTGAAATATGAAAGTCATGGGTCCACTAAATCAAAAGTTATAGGCAAGGTTAAAGTTTTTGCGGACAAACAGACAAACAGACAGACAGACGGAGGAACACGACAAAAACTATATACCCCCGAAACTTCGTTTACGTGGGCATAATAATAACTTCAAATCTATGTCCAAGTACCTTTAAAGCGTTTGCACTTTGCAGACAAACAGACAGAGAGACAGACAGACAAACAGACGGACACGACAAACTACATACCCCTGAAACTTCGTTTACGGGGGCATAAAATCATAACTAGTTGTGTAAATCAGAAGCAATACCAAAACAAAATGTGTTTGTGAAACACTGATCCCCCGAATGGCAACATAGCGAAGCTTAGTTTTTCTCAAATGCAAATCAAACATTTTGATACCCAAAATGGCCTTTTCAAGAAAAAAAAAGTGAAATATGAAACCCTAGCACCACCTGTTCAAAAGTTATGGCCAAGGCTAACGTTTTCTTTGAAAAAATAGGTCAATCTCCAAGGTCAAAAGGTCAAAGTTGTTTGTCTCAAATGAAAGGTCTTGTCCAAGGAGTATGAGAGCCCTACCCTTTACCGTTCCAAAGTTATGGCAAATGTTCAAGTTTTTTAAAAGTAGGTCAATCTCCAAGGTCAAAAGGTCAAAGTTTTTTGTATCCAATGGAAGGACTTATTACAAGGATTGCATATGTGTTTAATGTGAAGCATGAAAGCCATAGCCCTTACCATTCAAAAGTTATGGGCAAAGTTAAAGGTTTTATAAAGAAGGTCAATCTCCAAGGTCAAGTTCAAAAGGTGAAGTTGTTGGTATGCAATGAAAGGCCTGTTACAGGGATTACATATGTAAAGTATGAAAGCACTAACCCTTACCGTTCGAAAGTTATTGCCAAGGTTAAAGTCTGGAATTTTGGTGTAAAAGTGTGTTAAAACTCCAAGGTCAAGAGGTCAAATTTGGTCGTACTCAAAGGAAGGCCTTGTCACAAGGAATACACCTGTGAAATATGGAAGCCATAGTCCCACCCAGTCAAAAGTTATGAAAAAGGTTTAAGTTTTTGCGGACAAACAGATAAACAGACGGGCGGACAGGGTAATAACTTTATACCCCCGAAACTTCGTTTACGGGGGCATAACAAAATGTGATTGTCAAACAATTATGCCACTGTATGGCAGTTCTTGGCAAGGGCATTCCATATAAATGCATATCAAACTCCAAGGTCAAGAAGAAGAGGTGAAAAACAATCAAATTCAAAGAATTGTGGCCCCCCTTTTCGGTGTCTTTGTGGGTGAGATGTCATTTTTTATGACATATTGTGTCAAACATGAACGTCCTATCATATGTAATTCAGAAATTATCACCGAAGTTGAATTTTTGTCCCCCGCTTGAAATGTGGGGGATATTAATTTGGGTTTGTCCGTCCGTCCGTCTTTCGGTCTGTCTGTAACGCTTTCGTTTCCACACGATATCTCGAGAACCCTTTGAGCTTTTGCAATGAAATTTAGCATAGCAACTCCCTATGGACTAAAGAAGACCCCTATTGATTTTGAGGTCAAAAGGTCAAAGGTCAAGGTCATAAATAAGCAAATTCT